TGCCTTCCACAATGCCATGATCTAAAATCTACTGTTTATTTATAGTTCCACTCTTGCCTTCCACAATGGCATGATCTAAAATCGAACTCTTCAAAATTTCCCCCCTGCCTTCCACCATGCCATGGTCTAAAATCTAACTTAAACTTCCCCCCGCTTGCCTTCCACAATGCCATGATCTAAATTCCAACTCTTTGTTTAAATTTCATCCCCCTGCCTTCCACAATGCCATGATCTAAAATCTAACTCTTTATTTAAACTTCCCTCCTTGCCTTCCACAATGCCATGATCTAAATTCTAACTCTTTATTTCAAATTCCCCCCCTTGCCTTCCACAATGCCATGATCTAAATTCCAACTCTTTATTTGAACTTCCCCCCCTGCCTTCCACAATGCCATGATGCAAAATCTAACTCTTTATTTAAACTTCCTCCCGCTCGCCTTCCACAATGCCAGGATCTAAATTCCAACTCTTTATTTACACTTCCCCCCCTTGCCTTCCACAATGCCATGGTCTAAAATCTAACTCTTTATTTTAAAACTTTGATCTAAAATCTGACTTTTTATGAACTTTCCCCTCCCTTGCCTTCCACAATGCCATGATCTAAAATCTAATTCTTTATTTATAGTTCCACTCTTGCCTTCCACAATGGCATGATCTAAAATCGAACTCTTCAGTTCCCCCCTTGCCTTCCACAATGCCTGATCTAAATTCCAACTCTTTATTTAAATTTCCCCCTTGCCTTCCACCATGCCATGGTCTAAAATCTAACTTAAACTTCCCCCCGCTTGCCTTCCACAATGCCATGATCTAAATTCCAACTCTTTGTTTCAATTTCATCCCCCTGCCTTCCACAATGCCATGATCTAAAATTTAACTCTTTATTTAAACTTCCCCCTCCTTGCCTTCCACAATGCCATGATCTAAATTCTAACTTTTATTTAAACTTCCCCCCTTGCCTTCCACAATACCATGATCTGAAATCTAATTCTCTTGCCTTCCACACGACTGCCCCTCCAGTTTTGGCCCCTTCCATTGTGTCAAATATTTAAAGCGTTTATTTCAAGTTGAAGCTGATTTGACCAGCAACAGCTGCGAGTGGAAACTTGAACTGGGGAGGTCCATTGTTGCGCGCCTGCTTTTTCTTACGTTTTGAGGACCAAAAAAGGGTCCCTTCTTTGTCATATTGTTTTGCTTCAATTTCCATTGGCTTGAGGCCTTCGAGGCCGCCCTCAAAGCCTGCCTCGAAGCTTGCCCTGAGGGGTTTTGTTCTAATTTCCATGGTCTCGCAACACTGGAGTTCGAGACTTGCATTGAGGCCTGCCTTCAACTTTGTTTCATCTTATAAACTTTTTGTTTTGCTGCAACTTGAAGCCTCAAGGCTTGCCTTGAGGCCGTCCCTCTGCGCCAGCTGCGGCCTAAAATTCTAGCAAGACAGCACAGTTGCCGACAACTTCAAGTTCAACCTTGCTGGGACTTCAACAACAGTATTATATAGTTTCGAGTCCCCGTAAGCCTCGCTTTGCCCTTGTGCCAATACGTTTTGCGTCCGAGGCGTGGCCTCGGCCAGGCCTCGCCGAGCTTCGAAGCGCCTCGATTGCAGGCTTTGTAAACACGGAGCCTCTTTCATCAAGAGAAGAGAAAGGGAAAGATGGTCATGACCAAGACAAGACACTAGTTTTGAGTTCGTTTTTGGTACCTGAAATTGATATGATTTTTGGAGACGGAGTTGGGGGCCTCCCTTGTAATCTTATTTTCGGGGACAAAAAGTCTAATCTTATTTTTGGGTCTAAACACATACTTTTGAGACTCCAAAGAGGGAAAGTCCATCCCTTTTTCGTCAAAGGGATGTGAAGGGGGGCTTAAGGCAGGGTTTAAGACGCGGCTTGAGCGGAACTTAAGGGGACGCTTGAGGGGAGTTCAAGAGGTCGCTCAAAGGACGGATCTTGGCCAGGAGGGGGGTATGAGCCACCTGACAAAAAAAATTGGATCCTGTTGATGGCTTCTTTGTGTATGGCTTCAAGTGAGCGTGCCTGGAGCCCAATCAGCACATAGAGTGTAAAAAAGGAAACGTCTTTCATCAACATCACAGCAGCATTGACCATGCTTGGTCTATTGGGCGTACCCACACAGTAAGCTGTATAGATTTGTAGTTGACATTCTTCATTGCCATGAGATACAATTCCTTATGGAAGTCTACTGACCCAGTGCTTGCTGCGCTTGCGTACATTCACCAAAACGAACATGAGTACTTTTTGGTACCGGGTCACCATGACCGATGGCCCATGGACCTTCGACGCATCAGGTGAAGCAGCATGCCTTGAGCTGCTCACCAACGAGTTGCTTACCAGGTGCGCATTTTTCTCTTTGAAATTAGAGGCTTGACATTTGTGCTTCTACCATTGCCTCGCGTCTAAACCTTGGCAATGCAGCATCGACAGCACAAGAAACGTGCACAGTTCATCTCACTTTTGTGCCACTGAATGGCTGCCTGCCGATGGATCTTTGAATAGTCTTCAGAAAATGTTCTCTTCTTCCTTTCAGGGGGAAATCTAAGAAGGGACACCACTGAAAAAGGAGATGGGGTGGTAAAACCAGGGGTAGCCTTAGGATGGTCATGGTCCCCCACCCCCTTCTGTTATAAACGACGCAACCTCTATGTCGTCGTGCCCGTTTTCCTAGAGCAGTTCTGCCATAAGAGGATGCGCTTGTCACTTACTGCCTTTTCAATCGACCCCGGAAGACCTGTATGGAGATAGCCTCTTGCACTTTGAGTTGTTTGGCTTTGATTTTTGTTTTTTAGAAGCCTCGGGTCCGATGTTGTCACAAATTGGATGGTTTCTTTATTCTGGGTATGCCAAGTTCCTCTGAAACTTAAGCAGGAATTAACCAAAAACCGTGTCTTGCTGTTTGCTGACAACAACTTGGCTGTTGAAAGGTCGGTCCAACAGCCCCTCCATCGACGACCTTGTAACAGCCTTCTATTCGATGTAAGTCCACTCTCCCTCCTTTCGGCGGATTGAGCCGGTCCCAGAAAGAGCAACCCCGGAGATGCCCCCTCGAGATTTGAGGGTTAAGAAGCGGCGGAATTTTGGAGCGCACGATTTGTGCCAGGGTTCACGTGCCAGAACGCCCTCACGCATTGCATCTTGAAAGCTGCACGCCTCCGAGACAACCGGTGGTTTAAGGGGGAATGGAAACAGATCCATGACAGATGCTGGCAGCTCGGTTGACTTTGTCTTCTATCCGAAGAAAAATTTCCTGGTCAACCTACAGAGCCAAGTTGTGTACAGAGACCTTTTGAAGGAATCCGAACCTTCACACGAAGTGGATAGCACTTTCTTGGAATCAAAAACTTTGAACTAGTTTCTGAAAGAACTTGAGGAACCCCCCAAAAAAATACCCTGAATTTTTCTGATCAAATTGTTTTTTCAAACAGAAGACTTTGAATATTTGATTGGATGTATATTCTGGATTAAAACATCTGAGTTCTTCGTGGAAAAAAATCAACCGTTGGCAACGAATCTTTTTTGAATGGCCGTGCAATTTTGGTTCATAGACCCCAGCAGAGGGGCACATGGGAACATCAAAGTTCCATGATCATGTGAACATCTCATTCCGTTCATGTTCTAATTTATGTCTTGTGCGTCTTAGATTCACAGAAAAAAATCAAAACATTCTTCAAATTTTTCTCCCACCTTCCCAATCCCTAGAGCAGGGAGCGGGGGGAATGAAAACCGATCCATGACTGATGCTGGCAGCTTGGTTGAACTTGTTTTTCTTCCGAAGAAGAACTTCCTGGTCAACCTACAGAGCCAAGTGGTGCACGGAAACTTTTAGAAGAACCCGAACCTTCAGCACCGTGTTGTTCCCCCGATAGGAAAAGAGAGCGAGTGCGAACGTGGCCGGACTGAAATTGTGGAAAAACAGATTGCAAATCATACATGATCTGAGATATTTCTTTGGGTCCAAAGAATAGATGGCAAGAAAAAACGATTTCTTTATAGTAGTGTCACCAGTTGAAATCGGGTTCGAGAAAAAACAATGAACACGACAAAAACAACAACAATGCGCTCGTGTGGAGGTCCACTAACCAGCCATCTTTTTGCAATAAATTTGGGTGGTAACATGGCTGCAAAAAATGGACTGCAATGTTTCCCTGTGAGTACTTATGCAAGTTTTGCGAATTTCATTTCCATTTATGGAGACCGCTGCCTCGGTGTTTGATTGTTTGCAAAACCATGCAGGACCATTTGTTCCTTCCAAAACCTAACAGTTTTTTTTTCATTTGACTTTATTCCAATCGAAATTTGGAATGTTTTTTTTTAATGGATGTGTCCATTTCCGTTGGGCAGCATTGCGTTGAGACCACAGCCGGAATCTTGAATGAATTCATTGTCATTTGTCATGTGCCATCGAATGAACATTCATTTTGCAAAGCAACAAACATTCACTGTTTTCATGCAATGTCCTGTAAAATTTTGCGACAAACAGTGAAATCGTTTTGCTACGGCGAATGTATCAGCAAATTTTCCCGATGTTTAACCTGGGTTGACATTTCTTGTTTGGGCCCTTTGAAACGGACAGTGTCGTGATGCCTTTGATCTGGATGGGCCAAAAAAATGCGGATTTAATTAGTTTGAACAGTTGAATTTGCAATACAACAACGAATGATCCATTTTTCATATTGGTTTGAACCGCCGTCAGACACACCCACACATGTTTGGTTGCAATCAATGTCAATGATATTAAGCAGTATGTTGCTCTAATCAAAATGGTATATTTTGAAAGAGACAAACGTTCCGGTGGAAGTGTCAAAAAACAACATTGATCAGGTTGACACTCATTGCCAACAACAATTAACATCAATTAACATTGAATCCGACGTTTGCTCAATAAATCTAATTGTTTGTCATATTTTGTCACATCTGCATTTGGGGAGGAATGCCTCCAAATGTTAGTTGCCATTGTTCCAAACAACATTTTTTTTAATTTCACACAGTCTTCCAGTCATTAGCATGGCAGCATACATACACATCGCCCAACATGCCTCCCTGTGCAACCGCAAACGATGCGGTTTGTCCCAAACTGTGTGAGTTTTCGGACGTGTTTTTACGCTGTTTGCGGGTGGAAACCGTCTTCACGGTACGTGGTCAGTGCTTCGTTGTCTGCTCGTTTGCGTCGCGAACGCAAAGCTGACGAAAAAACTGAGCGTTTCAACCGCATGCTCGACGTGTGTGTGGCAGCCGAAGACTTCCTGGGTGCCGAGCGGATTTTCCAGCGGCTAGTGATTCTGGGCACATTGGTAGTTTCTTTTGGTCTTTTGATTGCCGATATGGTTGTTGACTTCCTAGCCACTGTTTTCGCCCTTTTATTTTGCTGGTATGATTGGGGTATGCTTCAAGCTTTCCGTGGTACATCATCAATCTGCCGATTCTTTATTTTGGACACGAAGAAAACACCAGAAAAATACTTTCGCATTAAATGTATCTTGGCCGACACCAAGACACAATAAACTCATTCATGATGTTGTTGGTCGCAATTCAGAGTTTGCAAAATCCAACTGAGTAGAGGTGTTTTTTTGGTGATGCCAGTGATATCCCCTCTAATCACTAATATCACTGGATATCACTGGCATCACTAATATTTCGATGGTGATATCCTACCAGGGCCTACCCATCCATTCGCCAGGAAGGACCGCAGCGATGTCCCCAACGAACTGAGCTTCGGTCTGCTGGTGGCCGCGAGCGCTTCCGTGCGCGACCTTTGCCGTGCCGAAATGTGGCTACAAAGGTGGAAAAACGCCCGGGGTTGTTTCAACCTATGGAAATATGTGGAACGTGGGTTAAAAATGGTTAAAACCTATAGAAACCCAATGAAAAAACCTACTGTTTTAGTAAATGTTTCTTGGATCAAACATTTGAAGTAGTGACACTGCAAAAGAAATCATGTGATAAAACTATGAATCAATCATGCAAACTTTGAACATTTGGGGGCAATATCATCAAAACTAGGGTTTTCATTGGTTTTACCAAATGACTGCTTGTTGATTGGGGGGTGATATCATCAGAACCCATCAACAACCACAATAATCAACAGCCACAATAACCAAGAACCATAACAATCGATCATAGTAGTCAAAAAAAACACAATAGTCAACAACAACAACAACAACAACAACAACAACATATCCATAATAGTCAGCAATGATAATACGCAACCACAAAGATCAACGACAATAATCCACCATAGGATTTTTTAATTTGTCCCCTGAGAGCTGCCACCTGAGCAACGTCGGGTCGATGGGGCCCGCATCGTTGTGGCTGTCGTACATTTGATCCTAGATGTTTCAAAGAAATATTGTTCGTGAATGACGTTTTTTTTGGTAAACCGATTTCATTTTTATGTTTGTTTTGTTATTTCCTTCAAAATATTTGGAAACGCATCTAAATTGGTAAGGATTATACATCATTGTTGTTGATTATTATGATTATTAGGGTTCGTTAGTGATTACTATAATACACCAATATTGTACTCGATTGCAGAGTATATAGTGCTACTATAATCCCAATTTTAATGTTTGATTAATGATTATATAGTAATACTACAAGTCCTACTATAATTCAGTGTGGTTGGTTAATTGTTACCATTGTTGTTGATTATTGATTGCTTCTATAGTATATAGTCTAATGTGGTACTCCAGCCATAGACTACCTATGATTATTGGACATGAGTAGGAATGGTAACAATTGTAGTACTGATATATGTTTCTATAGTAAATTATAGTAATGATGATAATTATTATACTACTGACTAATTCATCATCAAGACATTATCATTGTCATTGTCATTGTCATTATCATTATCATTATCATCTATTGATGATTTATTGTTATTATCATCATCATTATTATTAGCTATAGATTATTCACTTATCATGTGGATTGAGAGCACATGATTGTGTTCTTCAACTGCTCCGACCGCAGGTTTGCCCGGGCGAAGTTGGACCCAGCAATCCGACAACATCCCAAGGTGACGCAGAGTTTGATCGCAGCAGGAGCCAGGAGCCGATGGTCATCGGGGATTACCAGGGTGGCTGGTAAAATACTGGTAAAATCCCATGAATATTCCATTAAATATCCGGTTTTTAATAACAATAGATGTAATTGGGGATGATTATTGGGTTCAATGATTAAAAGAACATATTTCATCACAAGCAGCTAGCTTGCTTGTGCTAGCTGAAGTTGCTCTTCCTTTAGCATTCGGAATAGCTAGGAACCAGGACCGTTGAATTCCTAGAAACTTTCAATGGTTCAATCCCTCCCCCTGGCATGGGTTCAATCCCCCTATGGCCCGTGGGTTACAAAAAAATGTAACGTTCCGTCAGTTCCGTCCTGCGAGCTTTCGTACCTCCGGCCTCAAGTGGAATATTTAAGGGATATGAGCGGGATATATACCAACAATACGAAAAACTTAAGGGGGGAATCCAGAATCCCAGTCCTACGACGGAGGATTTTCGGAGCTGATCCAATAGTGAGGATATGACTGGGTGAAAGTTGATGAAACGTATTTGAATGGCTTGTTTTTTTCTATAAATGGGAATGCAATACCCAACTAATGGTAGAAAGGAATTTCACTTACTAGAAATCGCAATGGCTGCGCAGAAGAATATAGTTTTTTGCGATTTTGGGAAGACAGGAAGATCGCAATCGATAGGCAACCAGATTGGGTGGTACATGTATCAGCAAAACAGCAAAACATATCCCCAGTGACCTCTTCAAGAATGTTTCAGGTACTACCCTGGTATGGTTAAGTGAAAGGAGGCATGGACGTTTTCAATTGATAGGAGTATGGTGGAGGACGAGGGAATGCCTCAGAGTGCAAAGCTTCGCTTTGAAACTTTGATCGCTACATCCAGAGGTTCTGCTCTCAGCGACAGCAAACTGCAGGAGGTTGAAGGGGCCTTCCAGGATGCTTTGGAAGAATCCCAAGGTTTGAGCATTGTGACGAAGCATCTCTATCAGGAGCTTCTAGGTTTCTTGGCCCGGTCGGGCCAAAGTGAGCAGATTCAAGCCAGGTTGAAGGAGATGAAACTGGGAGGATTTCCAGCAGACCAAGTCACTTATGGCATCATCATCAATGCCTTGGCCTCCTCCGCCTTTGCTTCGTTGGCCAGCAGCTTCTTTCGCCAAGCTGAGCAGGAAGGGATTGCACTCACCTTGCCGCTGTGCAACGCCATGTTGAAGGCCTCTGGTTCTGCCGGGGATCTCCAAGCTGCTGAGGTTGGGGCTGTGGCGGGGGGGAATGGGGGAAGGCACCTTTTCTTTGTGGAGGTAATTCCTTTCCCCCAAAAAAGGAGGTTCTTTGGTTAGAATCAAACATCCAGAAACATGGATATAAAATCAAGAAGCATTGCGATAATGACAAGACCTGCAGAATGAGAACCATTTGCCAACTTGGGATGTTTGTTAAAAGAAATGCCGTCACTCTGTGGCAATTCCCTTTCTTTGTCTCATTTTTTTAATTTTTGCAGGTTTCAAAATTCCACAATTTCATAAGGCGTTCTTGGAGAAGATCTACGGCGCATCGTTGAGACCCAACATCATCTCCTTCAACAACCTCCTGGGTGCCTGTGCGGTGGTCGGCAGCCTCTCAGAAGCGCGGAAAGTCTTGGAGAGGATGAGGCAGGCGGCCGTAGCACCCGATGGCTTCAGCTATCTCTGGATGATCAAGGCGGCCGGGCGCCAAGGCCCGGTCCATTGAAAACTAGCTTTTGGGGCCTTGATTCATAGAAGATCCTGCATTCACATGTGCCATGGTTAAAATTTTGGCTGATTTTCCCAAACGGGGGGATAGTCATCAATCCCTTTGTAGGCATATATAGGCCCATTATATACAAGGATTGCAATTGCGGGATGGATGACGAATTCAACATACAATACCATGTTTTCACAAGGGCACACATATTTTACCCACAGTGATACTTGTTTTTTTTCTTGACTTTCGAAAACAACAGCTTATGGATTTTGTCATTGTTTGTAGCCCCCTGGAAGTTATACTTCAATCTGTGTATGCGGGATGAACATCCCTGGCGCAGGAAATAGATGACCTTGAGATGTCACTGGCCCAGATAACCCATCATTGTTGTAAGCTACAGCGGATTTTTATTGCATATCTTTTTTGCTGGTTGTAGTATTGTTGGCTTTTAATAGATTACAGCAATACCTTTTTGACATTTGTTGTAGCAGTTCCATTTTAATAGCTTCCAAAAAAATTGTTGCAATCCAATGTTTGCGACCTTATAGTATAGCATATATTCTTTGTGATCGCAAGAATTACACGACGAATTTAGGCGGCGATTCCAATCACTTCCCAGGCGGCGAGGTCGCAGAACGCTGCCTGGCGGAAGCCAAGGCCAGCGGCGTGGAGCTGGGCTGTGGGATGTACAATGCGGTGCTGCGCGCCTACCTGGCAGAGACCCCCGAGCGGCCTGAGGAGGTGAAACGACTCTTCGGCGAGATGCAGGAGCTGCAGGCGGGGGATGAAAAATGCCAATTGAGCCATTAAAGGTAGCTTGGTTGATGGGTGAATTTGTTGGGAGTTACACTACTTCATATTGGGGACAATGATAATCCATAATAGGGAAACCTATCAACCAACTAGTGTAATGAGATGGGACAGGGATAAGTTTAATGGCTCAATTGGAAAATGGGGGCTTCCTGCCATTAAAAATGGTGTGTGGGAAAAGAATGGCATGGTAACCTAGGAAAACCATGGGAGATTTCTGTTTGGAAAATGTGGTGTCGTCGAAAGCCAAAGGGATAGTTGACAGTACTTCTTGAAGGTTACGACTGTCGATCCTTTAAACCAGAAGGATAGGAATGTGCAGTTTTTTTTATTTTAAAGAAAGGTGGACATGTTTTCGTGCTGGGAAATGATGGGTGGTCAGGTGTCCCCCGATGCGATGTCATATTTGGCCCTGGCCAACGCCTATGCCATGCAGAATGATGTGCAGCAAGCTGAGGATCTGATTTTTCAAGGGAGGCGCTTAGGAGGTGCCCTAGATTCCCTATCGCCTCCTAAGTGGAGTATGCACGGTTCGTCTCGGAGGGTTTTTTGGAGGTTTTTGGTGAGTTTTCAGTGCACATCATAAAAATTATTTGCAAGTTAGCCAAGGTTAGGTTCTGTCACCAGTTTTGTTATTCTTCATTTTGTTGCTTTAATTCAGCTTGTGTTGGTTCTAGTCGTCCACTTGGGGTACCACAAAGCCGTTGGCCCCTTAGCAGGTCGTGGACCGGAATTCTACGCGTGTCTGCTCTTCGCGTATGCGAGGAAGCGTGGAAGTCGCAGCATCAAAGCTGAAAAGACCTTCCGAGAACTGGTGGCTGCAGACATTCGCCCCACAAGTCAGATGGTGCGGTACTTGCGAATGGCCATGGACACGCAACAGGCCGAAAAACTCTTAGCAGACTTGGGGCTGGATCATTTGCAGGATGCGGAAGAAAAGGGGCGACGTCCAGGAATTGACCCTTTGTACTCCTCTGGCTTGACTGAACACCTTGTCTCAAGACAAGATTCCCAAGGCCCTTATCCACGAACCTTGGTTACATTTCTCCATTGTGCTTAACCTAACTTGGAAGTTCTTCTTCACAAACGAACAAGGATCAGGCATCAAACTTGTCACAAGTTTGGTACGAGTTGGTATGCTAGGGCATCCCACGCATCGGATAGAGAAACAAGACGATGACATTTGTAAGGAATCGAAGCTCGAGGCCCTGAGCGTGTCGGAAAAGCAATCCACACCATCCATACTCATACAGTGATGGGCCAAAACCGTGCTTATTATATATTGCTTTCCCAGTATTATCACCATTACCATTATATAATTGTTATTAACATTTAACATTACTATCCTTATAATTATCATTTAGCTGTTAGTAGTACTACTATCATCAGCATTGTCGTTATTGTCATCATCATCGCTATTGTTATCCCCATCGTTATCCTTATTGGTATTTTATCATCATCATCATCGTCATCGTCATCATCATCATCATCACCACCATCATCATCATCACCAACATCATCATCATCATCATCATCATCATCAGTATTACTATCAAGGAAATGGTTCAAGGGACAATTTTCAGGACACACATTTTTTTACAATGGGAAAAACCCATGGTTTCCTGTAGATTCTCTCACCAATCCATCAAGCAGCTGGGCTTCCATCCTGGATCCCATCCTTGGGAGCCAGAAATTGATATGGGAACCACAGTCTGTTTGGCAAAGAATGGTGAACCTCAGGGAACACGGTTCCCAAGAACAGTTTTTTTTTTTGTGTTTTTTCAGATGATTTCTACCTCAATGGAAACCCCAAATGCTATTGTAAGAATTTTAAGGTTTTTCTCGTTGGCTGCCCTGGATTTTTTATTCACGCCTGGGCTGTTTGATTGGGGATGTACCAGTTTAGTGGCAGATTTCATCACTCCGGGGACCCCCCTAATGAATCAACATGTGGTTAATCGACCTGGTGGATGATTTTTGAGCCTTGACTAACTAGGGTTAAACCTATCTTTTACTCAAAAAAGGATCCACCTAAAATGGTGGTAGCCCGAAATCATCTTTAGATCATTCTAGTATTGATACCCATTGTTTTCGGAATCCCCAGTGAGAAGCCACGAAATGGTTGCGGTCCATGTTTAAATATTCCAACTGCGCCATGGACCCCGGGGGAATCTGTTCATGGCAGCCTCAGCGTCTGCCGGTTAGTGCAGCTTTCCCAACCTGCTCCTCTTTGTGGCACAGCAGGGAGTCCCAGACGGGGAAACTGAGAAAATATGGTTGGAAGTATCAAACCAATTGGATCCAATTGGTTTGTAAAGATGATCAGAACCATGGCAGCCATGGCATGTGGCTTTTTTTCACCATCCTCTCTGATCGTTGGATTTGAGAGGTAGAAAACATCACCAGTTTCAAGAGGTGAATCGTCTAAACATCCTGCCGTCGGGTTTTTCTGTGGCCCCTTGGGATGCCGGTGCTGTATCCCCCAGTTTTCACAGATGATTGGTTTGGCTGTGTTGCCCCCCCAAGGCCTTTCTTTCGCCATGTCGCTCTTTGCCATTGCCACCTTTGCTAATTTTGACTTGGGATCTGATCGCAGGGGAGCCAAGTTCAAGCAGACTACCGAAATGGCTTCAGGTTTAGACGAATCGTGTTAAAGATTTTTGTCTCCGGAATGATACCTTTAAAGTAAGTAGATGGTTCAGTAAACGGACCATGATCCTGATGCCTGTTGGCTTTCAGAAACCTTGGATTCACAAGAGGATACTTCCTTGGATTTATTATTCATTACCAACTCTGTACAACCCCCCAATGATGGCCAAATTGCGGTCCCTGAAATGTCCCACCCAATTTGATGCCCCTGATGGCTGCAACTTTCACTTTCAGTACCTTCTGAAGGCAGCAACTTGGTTGAGATGAGCAGCGACTTCTACTACGAGGGTGGTGGATTCAGAGACTGGCTGGGGGATTGGGATAGGTTCCTGCAGGTTACTGCCCAAGCAACAAGAGATGCACTTGTGCGATACTACCCAGCCAAAATTGTGGGACCACACCAAGATCATCGTACGAAACAAGTACGGCTTTTCCTTTGCAAGCCAGTTTAGACTAAGAGGGCATAAATCATCTCGATGTTTGTAATTCACTTAGCTATGGTATAGATGGCCCATTCACTTCGATGATTTACGTATTCAAAATGGTAGTTTTCCTTGCTATGGTAGTGATTACCAGTGGGTAACTCATCAATATTCTATTTATATATCACTAATGTTCCATTCTATCCCCATTATATATACATATATCCCTGTTGTACTGTTGTACCGTCATTTTGGTTGGTTAAATCAGCCATTTTCACCTACTTTTAATCTCCATGTAAAACCTTCCACTTGCTACATCGCTATTTTCACACGGCTTGTGCTTTGCAGCATTAGGGGTACCTCTTTGTTAGACAAAGTAATTTCGTCTTCTGAATGCTAACATAAAGAATGGTTAATGGTGGTTAATGGTGGTTAATGGTGGTTAATGGTGGTTAATGGTTAATGGACGGTTAATGGTTTTTTCTTCTTAGCTCTCAGCAGTTTTTTCTAAAGTCTTATTGCCAATTCAGATACCAAGAGCAGGGTGAACTGGCGCTCAGTGTTCTCAGTGCCAGGATATCGATACTATTATTACCCAGCATATCTCTACGCCAGGGCCTCAGCCTTTGGATTCGGGGTGCAAAGATCATCAGAAATTGACTGCCATCACTTGCAGATTTATATCATCCCCTCAAACACCAGAAGGAACAATCTTTGAGGGAAACCATGTCCAGTAATGTCAACCCTGGATTAATAAACCCCTAGGCTGCCTAGGCTGTTTAATTGGGAAGGTACCATTTAAGTATCAAATCATGACTATTGGGGGAATACCCCCCCAATTAATAAAACCATGGTTTATTAATCCGGGGTTGACATTATTGAACAAACATCGGAGCTCAAGTGGCCATGGTGTTTTTTATTCAGGAATTCGATAGGGTCATGGGTCATCAGTTTTTACCCCGCGCTTCAATCGTCATCATCAAGTTATTGGCTGCTTTGCAAGTCTTGTTGAGCACATCTCCAGTTTTTATTGTCCCATCTGCATGGTGGTTGCTGAGTTTCCAAATTTTCAGTGGCAAATGCACACTGAATCGTATGTTCCCAATCCTGATCAATGCCCAACCGGCGTTACAATCCCATTCATACAGTTGGCTTGGTTCAAATCTCACTTTTTGTTTAAGACTTCATTTTGGTCACTTGAAATACTTATCATTGCTGGTTGAGATCCCATTTTTGATCCATTTTTGCTGCTTGAAATCCCTGCTTTTACCGGTTGACATCCCGTTCTCACCAAGGCCCGGGAGGGCTGAGCAGGGCTCTCCCGGGCAGCAAGCCTCGCCATGGCGACGATGGCATCTAGGTGCCTGTGGTAATGGATGGTACGCATTTAAAACATCACGCATTCATAGATTGTCCCACATTTTTCCATGAAAAGTTGGGATTTCCAGCTAAATTGCCAGAGGGTATGAAATTTGGACCCCAGCCGCAGCAGAACATGTAGATTGTGCAGCTATGGGTTCCCATGAGCTACAATTAATGGAAGCTGGTTGCAGCAAAGAAACATGAAATTTAGGTGCTTGAACCTCAACTGTTTCATTCCTGATGGGTACGGATCAAAATTGGGCCGGTTGCTGATAAAGGGATGGCACCAAAAGTGACTAAACTCTTTATAGCGGGCCTTGAATTTTTGACCCATGCGCTGGTATCCCCATTGGGTCAGCATTTGTGGCCGAAAGACGGAAGGACGTGTGATCCACGTATCTTCGGACAAAAAAAAGAAAAAAACACCGCCAGGAAACGCCAGATGTCTCCAGTGTTGCCAGGCTGCAAAGGATCTTCACTTGGAGTGGGATTCAGACTGCTTGATGTTGCTTCTGGGGTTTGGGTCTGACCATTTTTTGTGGTTTACATTGTGGCCAACTAGTGCAGTTGCAAGAGTTATGGAACCCACTTCAATCATGGGTTTTGGGAGACAGTATACTATACATTGTGCCTGGAAAACAAAAATATATAAATTAAATATGTCAGATTTTGTTCTTTATTAAAAGTAATCCCATTTTTTGTCAGCTCTTAACATTTTCTTTTCAGGGCCATCTTTACCTCTTCCGTGGTTTTACCTTCATCTTGATAGATTACAGACCTCATTTTCATGGGTCACACCCCTCCAAACCCTCAAGCAATCCAGCTTGGCAGTGGACATTCACTGTTTCCAGCTCATTCTCGAAGAAAATGGGTTTTCTCCAAAATTTGGCTAGCCCAAAGCATGGCTTTTCCCATCCATCCACCAGTTTCGGAGGATCCAACGGGGTCCCCAACGGGTTCCCAGGTGATTCCCCTGCCCAGGTCCAACGGGTCCAATGGGTCCAACAAGTCCAACGTCCCTGCGCGGCAGGCGCCATCTCTCAAGATTGGGGAGATCAAGGAATGAATGGATGGACTTTTGTCGCATAGCATAGATATCAACGTACATATGTATGTATGTATATATATATACATACTTTGCATTATACACATATCAATATTTATAGGCGTGTATACATATACATATATATATACATACAATTATCGATCCACATGTAAAGAAGCAGACATGGTATTTACTCGACCTATGAAACTGGTGGTATTGACAATATCAACTACAAGAGTTTGTGTGTATATGTACAGGTAATTGTGCGTAACGACCATGTTTCGTGGACATTTCCATGTGTCAAACTCCAGGCCAAGGAGGCCACAGATTTTGCTCATTTGTGGTATTGGCCATGCATTTGTTTCAAAGGGAAACTCCATGAAATATGCCATCCCTGATTTGTGGAGACATATAGGATCTGAGAGGGATGGATGTGAAACTGCAATTTCATTTGTTGAACAGATAATCATATTTGATACATACGAATCCCATTCCTTGCAGTCAATACTCCCCTAGAACCCCTAGTTCGGTATTGGATCTTTTAAGTTTGGGGACCATATGGGTATTGAATAATTGGTGAAATTCTTTACCCTCCGGTATTCAAACATGGCAATGGAAAAAGAACATGTTTCATAGGTGATCTACTGTATAAAATCTGTTAGATTTCCAGTGCCATGTTTGGGGTCTGTGGTGCACACCATCACCAGGGGCTGACTCCAAGGGCCGAGAAGGTGGGAGTGGGTGAACGCTGGGAGAAGCCATAGCCGCCATGGTAAGCCAAGGCAATGGAGAGTTCCCTGCCTGGCACAAGTTTTCACAGGATTTCATTCTTCAAAAACTGGGCCATTAACCACCATTAACCATCATTAACCATCATTAACCACCATTAACCACCATGAATAACCATCATTAATAACATTGCCATGTTCGGTTCATGGATGCTGTTGCCAAGGCAAATGGTTCATCCAATGGGCTCAGCTGTTTTGTGATTCAAGGAACCCATTGGCTGTGGTTTTTCACCCAAAAATGGACCAACCTGTTGGAGTGAAACCCAATTCCCAGTGGCTTGGAATAGTGGAAATAGCTTGAGAAAGAAGGGGGCAATCCCCAAAAAGCCGCTAAGGTATGGCCGAGATTAAGTTCGATGATGTTGCTATTTCCCGCAACAAACTTTAAGACATTTTCAGAGCGTATGATATATCACTTTAACACATATATCATAAATCGTAAATATATCATCATATTATCCTCTCCATTTTATCCCCATTTGATCCCCATCCCAAGCACCGGGCAGGCCACCAAGAAGTTGTTGACAGCCTGCACGCAGCTGTGCGAGGCGAGATTTTTCAACGAAAAACAACAGATTTCTGGGGGGGTTCAATGGGGATTTAGATGATTTGACCATTAAAAATAGGGATTTTCTGGGAGATGAATGGGGATTCAATTATTCAACTGGGAATTGATATGATTTCACCATTGAAAATTAGGATTTAATGGGATATAAATAGGGATTCAATGATATGTTAATGCGGAATTGGCCTTCAGACAAGGCACATATGATTGAACAATTTTTGGAGGACCCACCACCAAAAGGTATGAGGTTATGATGCTCTCCTCGGATGTGACACTACCGCCGAACTAGGCTAAAAGGAACATTTTTGTATCCAACCCAGACAGGTCTCCGCCATGGGTACCATTCTATAGCACTATAGCTTCAAAAATCCCATTCATATCCCCATTAAATCCCCATTAAATCCCCATTAACCATCACTTCCAAGCTTTGGCTTTGAAGATTTTGAAGACCAACGTTGCGAGGCTTTGGCCAGAGCCGGCCCAGTCCAGCGGCAAGCTGTGATCAGCAGTCTCAGCCAGGCCGGGAGAACCAGCAGCTGTGGAAGCTTGGGATGTGCCCAAAACCAGATTCGATGGTCAAAACTATTCGATTGTCCCAACATTGTCCCAACATTTGGGAATCTCAGAAAAAAATCCATGTTTTTCGATATTTCCGTTTTATCCCATTGGATTTCTGCATCATTTCCCCTGTCAAAGTGGCCCTAGAATCGAGACCTTCCCCCAAATTGTTGGTGATCCTCAGTCACTCGGTGCTGGGGTCCGGGTCGCCGGCCTGAGCCAGGGCTTGAGACAAGAGTTGATCTGCGTGAGAGAGGTGCGGGGTCCAAAATTGAATGAAATTTCATGAAATGTCAAGTAAATTGAATGGGCAGCTAGTGCATTTCGGCTGCTGTTTTGTGATGTGCCGGCAGCCTTGGGTCTCGTCACCATCTCAACCGGAAGCTCGTACACTTCTGCAGTGAAGTCAGATGGGGAGAGAGTTTGTTTCGGAAGCCAGACAGACATACGTCCCTTCTGGCCTTGGAGCCCTAGATTTGAACAGCTTCCTGGCAGCTGGGTGGCTGGCCAAAAAGTGCATCAGCTTTAATCTAGCTGGATTCAAGCAACAGTGTTTGTTTGTGAAGATGAAATATGTGATTGTGTGAAGCATCAAACCTTGAGATCAAAAACTACAATGTTATTTGGGTACGGGTCAAAACACAGATATTCGAAAAATTGGATGGTCAATACCGTTAATTCTCTAGATGGCCAACATTTGTGGGTCCTCCAGATCCTGATTCTTGTCCAATCAAGCAGATGCGTTTTTCCAAATCCCGCAATCCATGTTTTTCTTGGTCAATTCCCGTTTTGGTTTCTTGAATCATTATTTTTGTGGGTGAATCCTTAGTTTTTGAATGACATCATTGATTCAACCCCCTTTTGTGAAAAAAAACACCATGATGAAAACACCGATTTTCACCAAAGCCGCAAGAAATCCACATTTTCTATGGGTAAATCCACATTTTAGATGGTTAATTCCCTTGATAGAACAAGTTCCCCGGTAGAACTGCTTCTCAGTTCAGTTCTGAACAGGCGCAGAGTCGAGCCAATGCCAGGAGCGATGGCTGGTTTGAACCATTTTTTGGGTTTGAACTAACCAATTGGTTGAACCTGGTAATGGGTCCCATTTATAAATGATTTATTTTATGATTTACCCATTTATCATAAATCAAAATCTCTAGAATTGGTTGGTTAGACATCTTGAAATGGGTAAAAGCCAATTATCTCCAGAACAGGTTGGTGAAATAAGACATGTTCAAATGGCTGGAGATTTCATCAACACTGGGGATTTCAGCCGAAGGTTTGCCCAGGATGAAAGGATAAAGATGAAGTGACAAATGCGGAAAAAACATCTGGTGTAAGTTGATCTTAGCAAGAGTCTCGAGCAATGCAGGGGATAACAACCAAGTAAACACATGTTTGGCGGAGTTGATAGGGTTTGAAAGGTTTCAACGAACTAGGGATGGGGATATGAATCAACAGCAAAAGGAGGGGAACTAGGTGTGAAATGAATGAGGAAAAATAATTCATGTTTCATCAACAATACTGAAAAGGGCACAAACCTCCGAATTGAGAATATCATCAACCCAAAGGTCGGGAAGTCGGGAAGAGTATCAACCAACAACAACCATATTACATTTGAACCAAATTGATGTTCCTGGACCCCCCTACTCTCTGCATATCCCCAAACATGTGGCAGTCTGAAAAAACGGTCAGCAAGGGCGGATGTGACATGAACCAGCAACAAATCAAAGGCTGCACCAAGTGCGGATATCACCAAACAAAATCGGGGATATAGATGCTACAAAAATGCGGGATTCAGATGTCAAACACAAGGAGTTCCATAATCACAACGAATGGGAAATTTAAGTGTAAGACAATTGAAGTAAACCAAGAACTGTGTTCCTGATGTATGAACTCTGTGTTTCTTGGACGCAGATATCGGAGAATCAAGAAACATGTTTGCTCTTGGATGCTGCATAAGCAAGGAAAAAGACTTATGTTTGGGGTTTCAAACTGCTGTTGCAAAAAAAGACCCTTGGGGACCTGCTGCGAATGGATCAAAGTGGAGGCTGCGCTGCCCCGCCCACTCACCAAGACCCAAGGGTTGGAAAACTTGTGATTGGCTGGAGTTCTCTTTTCCAACCCAATGCATACGGTTGTTGTTTGTATCAGTATCTTGAATATCTATATCTCTATCTCTATCTCTATCTCTATCTCTACCTACATCTATATCTATCTTCTATCTCTCTCTCTATACTATATATATACATATATATAATATTATAGTATTATTATTATTATATATATATAGACATAGAGTTGATAGTAAGCGTACGAGGCCGGTTTTTCTTTTGGTCTTGGTGTGTCTTAGCCAGCGCTTTCAGATGATGGATGCCGCCCGGGGTGCTAGGACAGGTGGAAGTTTGCCAACCGACAAACTCTCAGAGAGCTGGAGATGGGAGAGACCGGTCGATTTCATGTCCCTCCCTGCAGTTGCACAATGGAATCAAGGTCCAAGAAAGGTACATGTACACGACTCATGTATACTGTTTGCTCTCACACACACACACACATACAGACATGATGCTTAGGTTCCTTACTGGCCCAAACAAGAACATTATTTTCTATCCAAGAAATGTTCCTGTGGGACAAACACATTCTTTTCAGAACAGCACGCACACAGATTTCGACTCCCATTCCCCTGATCATCATCGCCAACATGGGAGCCCAAAATGAACAGATCCGATGATGTTTATTGAAATTGAGGGGAAGACATGTGGTGACCCTGCGCTTCCTCAGCTGACGGCTTCATGTCATGGCCGATCTACGAAATGACAAGCCCAGCCACATGTGGTACTGCTGCTTTAGACTACCAACATTAGGGGCCATGAAGTGCTATGAAATGGAAAACATCTCCATTGACATGAATCATTTGCCACTAGGACCCATGAACTTTGAGAAGGATTGCCTTTAGCTTGACAGACCTGACACGAAGAAACAGAACCATGACTTACAGCCGAAGAAAGCAGTCCTTCTTGGGAACAATCTTTGAGCATGGAGACACCATAAGAGGCCAAGCCTTCAGCTACAAGGTAAAGTTGCACTGCAACAAGCGTCCATTCAGCCATGGCAACTATGGGAATTGACGGCGGTGCCAAGCGTCTGGAAGAGACTCAAAATGGGGCGCCACCTTCCAAGAAGGCCAGGGGTGGTTGTGGTACTCCAAAAGGTATCACGAAGGGTGACCCAAGAATGGGCGCAGGTCTCAGAATGGGAATCCAAACATGGCCAGGAAATGAATTTCAACCCATACTGACAGTTAGTGTTACATAACCAGTTTTTATAGCGGAAATCATTCGGTCCTTTCAATCAGGGTTTCAGATTGGTTATATCCGTATTGCCCATCAGTTGGCCGTAAATCTTTGGCAGCAAAGTCAATCTCGATTTTTTGAAGTCCCCCATTTGCCCAGTTGAGTTCCTATTTTTTTTCTGGTTGAAAATCCTTACTGGTGCTTAGTAGGGAATGGATGGGAATGGGGGAATGGGATTATTATTGATAGTTATTGTGGATCATTCCCTCATTCCCTACTAAGCACCAGTAAGTTTTTTTCCTGGTTGAAAATCCCATATCCAGTCATTGTTGCATTGGGAAAATCTGCAGGAAACCATGGTTTTTACCATTAAATATGGGGGTTTCCGGTTAAAAAAATCCCTTAAACCAATCCATTGACCATAAAATGGCAACAAACTTGGCCCCTTCGGCTCCCCTGCGGCTAGGCCAAGAGTGTGGAAAAGCCCACAGTGAATCCCTTGACGGAGAGGCCCTTCTCTGACCGCCCCTTGGCGATGGCCGCCCCTAATGGATAGGAAGTTGATGATAGACAATATATGTGTGTATATATATATGTATATATAATACACATATTTAGATAACCAGTGTGAAACAATCATCATTACAATCAATCACAATCATATAATGTATGTTTCTTTTGTTTATGTATGTATATACACATAGTATGTGTATACATGACTGGGATTTAGCGTATACAGAACTTCACTGGGATACACATCCATATACTTTCGAGGAACTCTTATGTGGACAGTAGGCTTGGTAGGCCACCATGGGCGGTCCCATGGAGAAACTTACCAAAAAGCTATGGATATGGAAAACCCACCAACCAGAAATGTAGATCATTTCCTTGGGGATGGGTTGCGAGAGACGGCAGCCAGCCCGCCTGGAAACAGCCACACATCCAACTTGTCAGGTCCGAACTTTGATGGACAATATGCGCAGTATCAAACAGAATTCATTGGTTCCCCCCTGGGCCCAAAGAATGAATTGTAGATGATAGCGCTGTCACCTCATTGGTATCTTTGTTCTCACTTGTTGGTTGTAGTTGGCAAACATCCTGCAGACCCCGATCATCAGTTTTCTTGGTGAGGAGCCTCATCTATTGCTGCTTAAAATGGATTGATCTTTGATCAACGCTTGTGTTGGTTGGTTCAAATCAACTCTTTCGGTCATAGAATGAAATACAGTACAGCTTTTGGATGCTCCCGGTCTGTTGGTACAAGAGGATCCATTTGTTTGGTAAGGAAAGGAATCACACGGAATTGAAATTGTTGCTTGGCTTTTCATCAGGCTACTACGACATCTTAGAGAAGCGACAAAAACTTCCAGCTTGGGAAGCCAGGAGCCACTGCCCTCGATAGACGGGGCCTGGGGACGCCCATTTTGAAGGTTTTTTCAACAGGCTTGGTCCCAGATTTTTGGGAAAGTTGGTTCAAAACTTTTTTGATTCTGAGAGAAGGGGGGCAAGATTGGGTAGATCATCACCTTTGTCTTAGGGCGAATGTGGATGCATCCAAGTCGCAGGAAGGAGTTCTTGAAGCTCATCAAGCGCAATCAGACGGTGGTGCTTGTGGGCGAGACAGGATCTGGCAAGACCACCCAGCTGCCCCAATTTTTGCTGGAGGCCAACGGCCAACTGGGAAGGGCCAGGAAGGGGAAGGGATGGCGACCGCCTAAACGAGCCAGGCGTGTATGAAAGCATCATGTTGTAGCAGGAAAAGAGAGAATTTGACAGTCCAGTCTTACCCGAGTGTGTGGGATGCGTGAATGGCGAATGAAGCAGCAACTTTGCTGCATTGAGCACCATAGCAGCCATGAATTACCACCAGACAAACGTCTATCAACCAGCGCGCCCTTGTGAGGCAGGCTATCACATGGCCGGAGACAAGCCCAAAGGTATTTTGGCTGGTTACAGCAGTTTGAAAGTGCATAGTGCTGGATGGGTAGCAGGACCGGCCCCTGTTAGATATAAATGCGAGTCCAAGGCAAACTGCGACTTTCAGATTTCTTTAGACTTTATTTGTGTTTGATAGACATATCATTGCAAGTAATAATATTTAAGAGCCTTCGGCATTCCGCCGGCCAACCAGGCTTTTCGGCGGTAGGTCCTGTGATTTTCTGGTGTCGTCAATGTGTCAGGGACATTCAGGGAGACCAATGCAGTCCAAGCGCTCTGAGGTCTGTGGGTCGGGATCACATCCCAAAATCCCGTTTTTCTGCAGTGTTCTTCTTGGGATGTGAAGAGTGTTCAAAGTAAACCAAAACTCCCCAGCCATTTGGGTATGGCTCAGAATTCTTGAGCTTGAAATAGAGTCTTTCATAGTCGTGATATTTGAGAAGATGAACACGGCATGTCTTTGGCTTACATATTTTAACAGAGTATTTAAAGTCATCCCTCCAAACAAAATAGAAACGCAGTTTACCACCAGTTAGATGTATTCACTTATTTTTTTTGCAATCTAATTCCCTCCAAAAATATAACAGCTGTTTCAGACCATTTTGGCGGGATTTCGCTTTTCCATCTTGGCCTTCTGAGGCATAGCCTGTACACAGCCTCGGCGAGTGGCAGCGATGAGTGTTCCACGGCAGCCACAGTGAGAAGATGGTGTGTTGTTTGGACACGCACACACACACACACATTACTGAGTAAAAAACATGGCATAAGAGCAACCAGAATGGCGATATCATAGGATACATAGGATGTAATCTGAATAGTCACTAGTCGGTTGGTGTTTCTGGTTGTTGTTTTGGTGGTTTGGAATCTCAGGATTCTCGAAAATCAACGGGAAATGACGAACTTGGAGAATTCAATTGATGGGAATGGACGTTTCATCACGATGGGCATCCCGTGGTCTTGTGTGTGCTGTTCGGAATAGCTAACTTAGAAACAGAGTGAGTAGGAAGCAAGTGACGGAGTAGCTGTGGCCAGTGGCACGCACAGGATGATCTCTGGAGTGTGCAACTGGTTTGTAGCTAAGGATAGAATCATCTCGAATTCGGATTTATTGTTTTATACCTCCAGTCAATTCAGCACACCCAATCAATTCTCCCAGTATCCTCTTCTTTTGATCTGATTTTTTTTGGGGCTGGACAGGGGCCCAGCTTTCCTATTGAACAGAGGTGGCTCAGCGTGTGGCGGATGAATTAGACACCATGCTTGGCTCTCACGTGGGTTACCTCATTCGATTTGAGGTGCGGGGTTTCATCGGTGGAATCCTGCGATCCGCGGATGATGAAGAAATACTTAGATCAAAGGTAGAGTTACTAAATCCTAGTTTACACATGTTTATAAATGGAGAGACCCGCACCAAACCCACCTTAAATAGGCTTTTTTATATGGCCAAAGATGAATCAGCCAACGGTTTATCAATGTGAGGGTTGATCTTCCAAGTTCCATGGCTGATCTTGAAATTCCCGGACCCGACTGGATGGTTCTGAGAGATGATGCTCCCAATAGTTGATACCAGATATAGACAACAGATCTCCAGGATCGATCACACAGATAGATATATAATATAGGTAGTACATGGTATTACCACACATATTCCCCGAACATACCTTCATCTTCTTGGTACTGGCCTCATTCTTGACGGTTATGTCCACTTTTTGGACACATCTTTGTCGCAATTCTTGGGACCTAAGATATCCCACATATCCCGTGCTTTGTCACTGTTGTGGGGGTTTGCTTGATTCTGTCTTCAAAATGACTTGTCCCATATCCATATTTCGAGAACAAATCGTCAGCAGTGGCTATATCCCCATTTGGATGGGTACACAGCCGATGCTCATTTTTGTTGAATGCTCTTGTTGGTCGAATCCCATTCTTTCAATGTCCATTTCAGGAACCAATTTATTGGAGATACCTACCATATATAAGGCCCAAAATTCAGGGAATATCCCCACAAAATATGGCCTTGTATGGCACAGTACCTCCATTGTAGGATCCTGAAACGATTGATTCTTTGTTGGTTGAATCGTCGATGATTTTCGAACTGGAACACCTCCAGTTCCGGGATTTCCCAGCCATGGCAATGATGACCAGAGGGTATCGTTTTTGTCGTTGGCTATATATCTCCCATCATATCCCCATGATAGCAGGATTTTTGTTGGTGAAGTCACCCTGAAGTCCCCATTTTTGATAGTTAAATCCCAAGGAATCACCGTTAAATCAAAGAAATTAAAACCTATATCGCTAGTAAAAGTAATACTATAGCTACCCTTATGACTTATATCCCATTGACTAATCACAATTTCAAAATCCCATGATATTCCCATATTTTCTCTATATTCATCACCATGAAATCACATGTTTCAATGCTGCTCAATCCTGCGATTGCTAGTTACCCTCTGGTAATTTAACATAGCTATTGAAAAATGACGATTTATAGTGGATTTTCCCATTAAAAATGGTGGATCTTTCCATAGTTGTGTAAACGTTTACCAGAGGGTAAAGAAGTCATCCTGCGGGTGCTGTTTGGTGAATCTCACCGTCCGTCGCCAGGACAAGACCTCCACCGAGACCATCTTGAAGTTTCTGACCGATGCTGGGACGGTTGGGGGTTGTCGGCTCCCTGGGAGATAAGATCATGGGGATGTAGAATGGAATCTACAAATGGGATATGGTGTATATATATATATATCTGAATAATACAGTATATGGCAAAGATAACCAATTCCTAAAAATGGGGATATATGATAATGTAATTATAGGGAATGAACAGTATATTCCCATCATGGGGATATAGAATGGAATATACGAATGGGTAAACGATAGTGACCTCGCGTCGTGACCTGGAATCATGGCTAGTAAAGGGAATTATCTCAATATAGTCTTATTTCAGGTTAGTGAATTATTGTAATTTGCCTGTATGTATATATATATATATATGTATACATATAAGATCTAGGGAATAGTAAGCAATCCATGGCTAAGAGATATGGGAATATAATACTGGATGTATGTAATATAAGTATATATGGTCCCGTGGGTGTATATACATACATACATACCTACATACCTACCTACCTACCTACCTACCTACCTACATACCTACGTACATACATACATACATACATACATACATACCATTACATTACCTTACCTTACATTACCTTACCTTACCTTACATTACCTTACCTTACCTTACATTACCTTACATACATACATACATACATACATACATACATACATACATACCAACATACCATACCAACATACCAACATACCAACATACCAACATACCAACATACCAACATACCAACATACCAACATACCAACATACCACCACCACAGGCCACAGGGGGGGGGACCAGAAGAACCATACCACCACCACAGGCCACAGGGGGGGGGGACCAGAGGAACCATACCACCACCACAGGCCACAGGGGGGGGGGACCAGAAGAACCATACCACCACCACAGGCCACAGGGGGGGGGGACCAGAAGAACCATACCACCACCACAGGCCACAGGGGGGGGGACCAGAAGAACCAGACGATACTGTCCACCCATACCCATTGGTGGGGGGGGGAGGGGGGGTGGCCAACGCTGCACCATATATATATATTATAATACTTACTTAACAATAATGGGATATACTGGGAGTGGGGAGACATACCAGGGCTGCTCCCTGGCCAATCAACACCCGACTGCGGGTGTTTTTGAAGATCTATTTTGATGTGCATCCCATATATAGGTGGTGAGGCGTATCCCCACAATATCTCCAGCTTATTACTGTATATGGTCATAGCCAGGTATGAGCATCCAAGTAGGGGAAATCCTGGATGAGAGGTGAAACAATGGTTGGGGTCCAATCAGTTTTGGGGCTCCTTTCAGAGTCCTCTGAAAAAATGGTACACATCTCATGCTCAATCATCATTGTCCACCTTTTGAAATGGTCATATTTTTTTTGGAGGTACCCTCTGGTAAACTAACATAACTATGGAAAATCACTATTTTTCATGGGTAATCCACTATAAATGGCAATTTTCAATAGCTATGTTAGTTTACCAGAGGGTAAACCCAATTTTTAGACAAACCCAATTCCAGAAGAAGCACGGCACATTCCTCTGATGTTTTCAGCTTGAGGACGGCATGCTTCTGCTGCTTTGATTGAACTGAGGAGTGAGACGGGTGGATTGGTTCGGTGTGAGGAAGAGGATTCTCAAACTCCATTTGGGTAGGGATTTCAGTTGGGAGTAAACTACGAGAATGACAACTGAAAGTCGTGTAGTAAGTTGTGATACTTCCCTAGCTTTGTCTCCAGCCAGTTCTGAGTTTCAAGAATCAGAAATGTCCAAGCAAAAGTGCGCTGGGGAATCTGCATTCCCAGACGATTGAGGCCTATCCATGCCAATGGGTGGGAAACTCAAAAGTCACCACAGCTATATACCAAGAATATATTTACCAATGACCCAAGTGATGGGCAGTTCCTATGATCCCAGTGATTTTGGTGAAAACTTCCTAACGGCAGCAAATCCCACTTCCTAACGGTAACCAAAAAGACAAAGTAGTGAAAAGACACCCAGAAAGCCGACAACATCCCATCAACGCAGAACACTAAACAGAAAAAGATCCAGCCCAGAAGTCAAAAACACACCATAGCCAAAACAGAACACGTATACAGTATCCGTACAATAAATTAGGTGGGAAAATCTGCGGGGATTTCGTTTTTTTATTTGGGTGAAAATCATGGTTTCCAGTAGATTTTCCCTTAGATCAATCCATAGCATCTGGTGGGGTATATATATATATACCCTCTGGTAATTTAACATAGCTATGGAAAATCACAATTTTTAATGGGAAAATCTACTATAATGGGCAATTTCCAATAGCTATGTTAAATTACCAGAGGGTATATACATACAAAAAAAGATCTCAATACTTATTTTATCCCCATGACAGATCCCATATCTGAGGCGCGAGGCCATGACAGATCCCTTGCTGACGAAGCAACCTGGCTAAATCATGGGAGATTTTACTCGGAAAAGATTCGGTTGACATCCTCTGTAAATGGAGGTTCATAGCGGGTGAAATCATCTACCCTCTGGTAAACTAACATAGCTATTGAAAATTGCCATTTATAGTGGATTTAACCAACAAAAATAGTGATTTTCCATAGTTATGTTAGTTTACCAGAGGGTACCATGTGGTGGATGTTCCAGCTTGCCACTTTTAATGACACCGGAGGGTGGAGTGAAAGAGGGTTTTTTTGAATGGTTACCCTCTGGTTAATGATGATACCCTCGTTAATGATAATCACTTGATCAACAATGGTTAATGATGGTAGCCATTCTGATAACCCTCTGGTAGAATTAGAATGGTTAATGATGATAATCATGATCAACAATGGTTAATGGTTAATGGCTACTTATGTTTTTTTGAGGATCCAAGTGGTTGGAAACCACGATTCAAAATCACTGTTGATGATTAGTTCTGGGATTATACTACCCAACTATAACATATTTTGGGGATTATCATAATTCATGAACTGGGAATCCCTATACATGGAAACTGGGGAATCAAAAACCGAAAGATTTGACGAACTAAACTGGGAATTCAGCGAACCAAAAGTGGTGATTTACCCCGCAACAAACTAGGGGTTCAACCGGCAAAAGATGTTTACATAGGATTGAGCCAGCAGACGTTGTGTTTTGACGAAAGAGAAAACGGCGATGGTGGAGACTGTGGGGATATCACCAATCAACACTGGAATGAAAGCCCTGCAAGAATCTCCAGATGAAACTAACTATAACTATATCTATATATACATATATAACTATTTGGTAACATGGTCATCAGAACTGTGAGGAATATCCACGAAACATCGCAGGACCGTATTAGCTTTGTATCGTTGAAATCCAAGGTACAGCGTCATCATCTTGGACGAAGCCCATGAGCGAACGCTGGCCACCGATGCAGCCTGGCACAGATCATCAGATCATCCCCAAGTTTTCACCGCATTCTTCTCCCATCAATCCGAACACATCCGAACTTGCCTCCAGTTAGATGGCTATGGCTCAATGCCTACAAGTACCATGTTGATGGGGATGGATCAAAACTTCGGGATTGAACAATAAAAAAACTCGGCTTCATGGGGTTCGATTAGGGTTTTCACATGTTGTCACTTTTTGGGGATGATGTTCCCATAAATCCCAGCTGTTTTGATGCGAACATCCTGACCCAGATCTGAGGTCCTCTTTGGACTCATTAAGGAGGTGATGAAGCGAAGACCTGACCTGAAGCTGGTGGTGATGCACGGGCCAAAGGGGATTGATTGGGTATCCCTGCAACCAACCCCAAGCATGCCATTGGGGTTAGACTGGTGGCTAAAATCTGGAGGAGGTGGGGGTTTGAAAGCAGCTTGAAGAGCGTTTTTTTGGATGACTTGCTGATTTTCAGGGGTGCGTATAGGAATAAAGGTAGGAACATTATCAACCAAAAGGGGAATTGCCAACAAAGTGAAAGAGCACAGATTCATGCGATATTAGCCTGGGCAGATTTCCAGATTCTTCGGGCGTGAAACATCAGAAAGTGCACAAAGTATCCAGTCATGACAGTCAAGACGTCTCCTTGATTTAGGGCCTGTGGGTCAAACTTTGGGAATCCCCCGATGGGAAACTACGAGACATGGCCAAAATCTGTTGTCGCCTGGGCCTGCGACTGGAACGGAGCTGAGGTCTGCTACGATGGATGCGCAGAAGATGCAAGGTTATTTTGTACCGGGCTCAAGTTGATAGGTGGTTTATTTCTATTGAAGGCACTGCAACGACGCTCCATGAGTCGTACGTGGCCCAAAATGGGTCCCATTTTGCCCAGGACAATGCTCCGCTGCTGAACATCCCGGGCAGAACGCATCCGGTGGAGATCTTCTACACCTCCGAGCCGGAAAGAGACGCTGTGTAGCCAGGGCGATGTGGGAGGTTCGGTACTTTTTTCGGTTAGGATGGTGGATAAGTGCTCATAGAAGTCATGCTAGTAGAGATCGTAGTTTAAGAATAAGTTGGGTATTTGGTTGGTACATGCCACTGATGTGACCATTTTGAGGGATGAAGATGACACCAGCCTCTGTGGGTAAAATCTCTGGGATTTCAGAGTTTTGACAGGTACTCATCAATTCCAGCATCCACTCACCACAGATTGGTCAACCCGATGCTGGTTGTTTAGGAACGCAGTCAGAAAACGCACAATATATTATATATATTCTTAACCCCCCAAGGGGTTTGCGGGTATGGCGTATGCATTTTCTTGATTGGAAAAGGACCACCCCATTCCTGAGTATTTTTTTGCAGCCAACTCAGAACTGTGCGGCAGCGTTGGTTGTAGCTAATGATAATGAACACTAATCGATAGTTGATAAGTTGATGGATGCTCTTTCCCCACTGGGTCAAGATGGATTCTGGAATTTCCAAACACGAAAAGAATCAGGTATCCCCAAAAATTCCAAACCAAAGGGCGATGTTCGCACGTGCAAAATCTTGGACCCCCCAATGATCCCAGATGGTCCATGTCACGAGGAATATCAATGGGAGTCCCTCCCCAAATCTTCCTTGGACATAACCAGAAAGCAAATTGGACACTCCCATGGAACAACTGTGCTGTCAGCTTTCTAAGCATCCCAGATTTGTGATTTATTCTAAAATCCTCGATTTGGATGGCAAAATCCGGGTTTCCTGCCATACTTTCCTTCAATGACCCCGGAATCCACCTCCACCCTATGGTTTCAGATCGCTTGGGATTCCCTCAGGATTACTTGGAAGCGGCCATGCGAACCGTTGTGCAGAATCTTCGTGGCAGATTCGCCTTGCCAAGCGCTATATGTAGTTCCGGTGCGTAATGTTAGTAAAGCAATAGGATCCTCCATCCCTAATTTTACACTAAATAACTGGTATAATAAAACATGAACACATGGCTCCTGTATTATTGCTTTACTAACACTAATCAATTTTATCGGGAAGGTTGGATTTCGGCCAGCCATGCTTTTTTTTTTTAGAATTTTTAAATTGTTGTTTTCCTTCATTGTGTGCCCAGTGGGCGTCGAACATTTTCATGTCACAGCGCTGCGACCACACCCAACATTCCCACCAAGCATATTTCTGTACAGACGAGAGAGGCTGAGAATCTGAAGCCAGTTCGGTAATTCAGTTCGTTGATTCAAGTTGATTCCCAAGTCTCAGAATGAGTTAAATCTAAAATCAGGAGACCCCAGACTTTGATTGTAAATTTCATGGTCTCCATGTCGCATTTTTGCTTATATATCCCATTATGCCATTATACTATACTTTGTCAATCTCCATTATGACCGGTTCTTGTCCGCTTGGGTTATGGAGCCCCGGCTGGACTAAGGATTCACAACTCTGAGCCGGAAGGGGACATTCTTCTCTTTCTGACGGGCGAGGAGGAGATCGAACAAGCTTGCAGAAGCTCAGCGCCAAAGGTAGGCGATGTTTCGAGGTCCCAAAAAGGGAGATTTCACCTAAACGATGGGACAATCACCTATCCCATCTTTTCCGAAGATGTTCCGAGATTTTCCGATATTTTTTCCCACACCACAGATGACATCACGAGGGCTACATCCCTGGGGATTCTCCAAGTTGCTGAGGGCAGCTGCGAAAGGAGAGTTCGCGCTTCCCGGAGAATGGAGAGTTGGTCCTCTGGTGGCAATGGGCCATGGGGATCTCACCAAGAAACATGGGGATAGAATGGATGAATATTACCAGTGGATATACAACCAACTAGTGACAATGGGATGATTCAGGTTTTCACCCCAACTGGGGACCTTTAGCAACAGAAAGATGGAGATATTGGAATCTAACACTTGTTTTTCTTCGCATCCTTGGGACCACGGAACAGGGGGGGAAAGCCTAGAGTCGCTAGTGGGAAGAGAGCTTGGCCTTTCTGCAGGATGGATCAAAATCGGGCAACCAAAACCTCCGAGGGCCAATGGAAAATTGGTCAGTTCATTTGCGGTTTTGCCTGGTCTGACATTTTGACCCAGTTTTTTTGGGTCTAGACCCAATTTTTCTTGATTAACTCCAACGATTTTTTGGATAAAATGCCGAGCTTTGTTGATTAAGTCCCAATTTTTAGGATCAAATCTTCATCTGTGACTGAAATTTCCAAACATCCTTCAGCTTAGGTTGCAGTTCCGCTCTACTCCTCCTTACCTCCAGCACAGCAGCAGAAGATCTTCGAGCCTGCACCAGGGCCCAGGTTCCCAGGTGCACCCTCTGGAAGGACCACCCAAAACATTCGGCCGTGTTTCTGACGGGTGCAAACCAAAAAAAAGGGCAAGGTGTTGTAAAGGGCAAGGTGTTGTGTTTTCTCCAGATCTAATTCCGTAGTATGTTCAAATATACAGTACTGTGTATATGTGTATGTATGTATGTCCCAGTCATTTTTGGCTTATCCTCTCCCCACACAGTAATTGTTGGATTTAATGTGAATCGTCCAGCCCTTCTTCGTAATGTCTCCGTGCTTAGCCATAGGAATTGCTCACCTCATATGTTGTACAACTGGAGTACATCTCCATCATTTCCTACAGCTCTTCATAGCGTGGCATCATGCCCCCCCTTTCCGTTGGTAAGACAAATGAGAAACATTTTGCTGGATTGAATCCTCAGGGTTCATAGGAAAAAACATCCCTTCACTGATCATTCCGCATGTACCCTCTAGTAATTTAACATAGCTATGGAGAATTTCCATTGTAATCGGTCCAATAGGTAAATCATCCATGGGACATTTTCTCCATGTTGCCAGAATGTTTCAGCAGATTTTTTCTTCTTCCGCACGTGTTCTGTTCAAATCCCCAACAGGTTTGGTATACCATCTATCATCATTTACCTGTTGTTAAAGGGGTTTCTTCAAAGCCCTCTTTTTTCATCAACCAACCAATGGGAATTTGGGACATCGCAGGAAGGTGGTGGTGGCCACCAACATTGCAGAGACCTCCATCACCATCGATGGCATCG